CTTACAGTGACAGATTAAAACTCCCGAGTTCTCAATTCAATTCCCACCTCCGCAAAGGAGCCCTGTGAGGCTTTGGACAAGTCTGTCTTTGTGTCACTCGGTACCAAAGTTCCATGTCTGTAAAGGGGAGATAATAGGATTTCCTTTCACCTACCCACTGATCTCTAAATAGACTACGAGTCCTTAGGAGAAACAAAAAAGGTTGTCTCTGGCTGTTTGTGTTCCTAGTGCCTCAAAATAGGGAGGGTGGCTCTGATTTTATTGGGTCTCTAGGTATATGTATAGCAGAAATATGAATAATATTAATAGAAAATAATACTAATAATAAATATACACTGAAGATTTAATCCAGAACTTATATCCAGTCTGCTTATCATATATTCTTACACTTCAGTTTGCTATTTAAGCGTAGACAATCGATTATCTTATATATGTGTGAAAATCAGAGTGGACTGAGATACTGCCACTGCGGGAACTCCTGCACTCATTTTTCTGCTGTCAGCCTTTTTCTGAAGCCTCCAGATAAAGACTATTTGAAAATGGGAAGTATGAGCTTTTTTTTTTTCTTTTTTTTTTCTTTCTTTCTTTTTTTTTCCCTTTTTTTTTTTTTCAGTTCCCACCTGGAATTGTTCTCTAATTCGGATATGTTTTTCAGATGGGAACTTCTGAGAATATGACTTTATTGTCAATTAAGAGATTGTCTCTGAGGTGTTTTTTTTTTTTTTTTTTTTTTTTTTCCCCCCCAAAAAAGTATTTATTAAATGAAAGAGTTATCTTCTAGACAAGCCATAAGCACTGCAAGAGTTGTGTAGAAAAATAAGTTTCCCTCCATTAATTCTCACAGTATTTCAAGCAGTACCTGCTCTTCCGTTACCATCTCCAGAGTGAGCGCAGTGTGAGGCATTGCAGTCATTTACAGTTGTACCTGTTCAAAATCCTAAAATATTTTGGAGAAAAAGAATCAGACAACACAGAATGGAAAAGCAGAAGAAAGAGACCAGTGTAGCTGATCCTGCCATGAGGTGTAGGAAGCAGAAAAACACACCTGATGTTTCAACAGATGATATAGTTATGCAATGT